CGCCAGAGTCTCAGATTTGCAAAGTCTGAGAATATATGGTAGAATTTGGTAAGGGTTAAGGGGATGACTATTTCAAGTGATAACATTTATAGAATTTGCAGAAAAAAAACACACTTTCATTAATTTATTCAAATATTTTCACTAATATATCCAAAAGATGATTATTGAAAATTTTATATTTTCTAGGCATTATGTGTAGGACAGTTCAGAAATATTTCCTTATGGTTCTAATTACAAGATGTCATCTTCCTTATATAATCACTGAACAGTTCTTGATTCATGTCTTTTAATAGCAATGTATAAAAGTCCCCCAAAATGGACTTAAAATTTCCTTACACTTTTCAAAGTGCAGAGCTAAGTTTGATGCCAAGCCATATATTAAAATTTAAACAAACATTCAAAGATGGTATCCTCACAAAAATGGCAGGCAACACTATAGGACATTGGGCTTGTGTCTATCTAACTTCACTTTTTATGACCAAGGAGACATTTGTGCATTTCTGAGGTAAGAATTTAACAGGAATCCTCCGATGAATCCATAGCAATATGATTTCACTGATGGTGAACAAGTTCTTCCTAATCCAGTCTTAAACTTTTATTTCAAATAAACATGCTGTCTAATTCCTATGACACGATCAACAGGGCCATGACAAAGCACCAGTATAGGTAATCTAGAATCGTCCCCTTGTATGAATCATGAAGCTCTGGCAAACAGTCTTGCTACAGCCTTTCCTGTGGTGGCCCATGGGATTCAACTGAAAGACTCTCTGTGCACTTGTTAAATGTTCTGTTCAGCCCTCATCTTATTTTTTTCAGACTACCAATGACCATTGAGTAAAGACCTTACTTCATGGATTGGACGTTCAGCTACACCTTTTTACAGCAAGTCTCTTTTTAAAGATCTGGTCTAGATACTCACCATGCTGCTCTGCTCTTGCAAACAATCCCCACAGCTCCTCCCCTCAAAGCATGCTTCCCAGAGAAGAAGAAGAACCAAGGAACTTATTATTTGCAGACTTAGAAGTGCCTGAAGAGGACAGGGATTTTTTTTTTTTTTGCTAATATAAAATGAAAATGCTAATGTGGATATTCAGTTTCAAAAGCTCTTTGTTCTGAGAAGTATGGTCTAGTGAGAAGGTACTGCAGTGGGAGACTGTGATTCATGGCTCCATCCTGTCTCCCTTACTTGTGGTGTCACCCTGAACCAGCCGCAATCTCCCGGGATGCTACTGATGTCATTGGGACAATGGGGTCAATACTGTCTTGACCTGGAGGAACGCCAAGAGTTCTTTTCTGGCTCCTCAAGGGTTTCTGCACTAAAACCTCACAAGGAAAATAAACATACTGAGGAAAATCAGCATAAGTGGGTGGCTTTTTAGTTTAGTTACATAACATACACACAGACTCCCATTTCTGGCCAAAATCCAGGAAGAGGAACTGGATTTATCTCCCGTCCCCTCACCTGAAACAACTAACAAATTGATTAAATACATGGAACAGATCCTTCACAAGGTACCAGACCCAGGGTGAAGGAGTGAGCCCTGAGTTTCCAGGCCATAGCTCGAGGCAGAGAAAGTCAGGCAGAACCTAGAGGAATCCTGGGCAGCTCTGGAGAGATCCAGGGAGCTAGAATTCACAGCACAGAGGACAGAGTATTGGTAGAAGAGAGCTGTTCTCAAAAAGTGAACCAAGAAATGTGCAGAGGGTGATCCTTGAAATTGTAGCTGAGTCATGATCATTACATGCATGTGGAAGAAACTGAGGCTGGGGGAAATTCACCAAAGAGGATATTTATAGTGTACAAAATATGTAGAACTCAAAAAGCTGAAATCCACAATGTTTGACCAATCAATAAAAAGTTACTACATATGAAATGATTCAGGAAAAGAGCACACAGAAGGAAGAAATATCAATCACAACTGATCCGAACTTGACACAGTTAGCAAACAAAGATATTATTCAAACAGTTTTTGTAGTGCTCCATAGGTTCAAAAGTTAAAATATAGAACATATTGGGGATGGGGGAGGCCAGACTGAATATATAGACATGAAAACTATGTTAGGAGAGATGAGATTAAAAATGGTCAGAAGGATTGTAGGGTAGTAGGAAGTACATCATGGAACATCATAATTAAATGGCTCAAAATTAGTGATAAATAAAATCTTACAAGGAAAATCTTACAGGATGATAATAAAAAAGACATGTTATTTATAGAGACATAAAGATAAGTATTATCACATTTCTTCTTGGAAATAACACAAGTAAGAGATCACAGAATACATCTTTAAAGAAGAAAAGGGGAAAAAAAAGCCTCAATCTAGAATTCTACACCCAGCAAAAACAGCTTCCAAAGTCAAAGGTGAAATTAAGGTATTTTCAGACATTAATAAATTAAAAACAAGAAAACAAATTCAAAAGAATTCATCACCAACCTACAGGCAATCCAAGCAAAAAAAAAAAAAAAAAAATTCCATCTCCAACCTACATGTTCTTCAAGGCATTTTAAGAGGAGTCCTTTGGGCAGAAGCAAAAATGATACCAGGTGCATTTGTATAAAAAAAAAAATTAAGAGCATCAGAAATGGTGACCGTATGTAAACATGTAAACACGTGAACTTTTTTTCTTATTATTTCCTGAACAATGCAATTTAACAAATATTTACAATGTATTAGGCATTGCTAATTAATCTAAAGATGATTTAAAGTAAACAGGATGACATGTGTAAGTTATTTGCAGATACTATGTCTTTTTTTTTCCCTTGTGGGTGCTGAGGATTGAACCCAGGGTCTTGCACATGCAAGGTAAGAGATCTACCACTAAGCTGCACCCCTAGCTTCTATGCTATTTAGCATAAAGGACTTGAGCATCTATGGATTTTGGTATCTGAGAAGGTCCTAAAACATACAGACATTGAGAGGTGATTGTACTTTATTGGTACAGATGAGACAAATAGAAAATCTATCAAGATATAGATTTAGATTTTTAACTGTATCAATAACTTCGCTGAATACACATGGCCTTCCCAATTAAAAGGCAAGACCCAGCTATATGCAGCCTATAAGAAATGCACTTCAAATACAAAAAAAGTACATGAACAAAAAATACTATGCAAATATTAATCAAAAGAAAGCTAGAGTAGATTTATTAAAATTACACAAAGTAGGTTTTAGAGCAAAATATATTACCAGGGATTAAAAGGTAATTTCATGATAGTGCATGAATCAAAGAGGACATAACAACTCTGAATGTTTCTACACCTAAAAACATAGTCTCAAAATACACAAGGCAAAAACCTACAGCACTGCAAGGAGAAATAGAACACACCACCCTTGTAGCTTTCAATACCCCTCACCCAATGATGAATAGTATAAGGCATAAAGTGCAAATTCACTATCAAAATGTTAATTATCCTCAAAGCAAAGTCTAACACTGTGTTCAGTAATGAACTCCATGGCCCCACTTGGTAAACCTTTTTTTTGGCAGTGATCACTGCAAACCACAAAGAAATCTCCTCACTGTAGCCTTCAGGACTGATGATGGCTTCCCTCCAGAGTTTACGGTCAAAGCTCTGATTCAGAAATCCAAGTCCTAGATCCTACACTGAAAATTATTACAGCTCAAGTTAAGTTTTAGCTTTTCTTGATCTCAGTTACATGGATTGTATGTTGAAGGTGTTGAGCTAGATAGATTACTATTAATCCTTCCCTATGGTCGGAAGGTTTGTGTCCACCACTGAATTCTTATGTTCAAATGCATCGTGTGGTGGTATTGGGACAGACTCCATAAGAATGGGGCTATTGCTTTTATAAAAGAGGCCCTAGGAGAGCTTCCTTGCCCCTTCCATCAGGTGAAGATGTAGTGGGGAAGAAGGGGTATGTGCCAGGAAGCAGGCCCTCTCCAGACCTCTGTTGGTGCCTACTCTCAGTTTTCTCAGTCTTCCAAACAGTGAAAAATACAATCTTGTTGTTTACATGCCACTCCGTCTACAGTACTGCATCAGAGCAGCCTAAGCAAACTAAGACATCCTGCTTCTGGCTTTTGTGTTTCCGACTTCAATTGCACCATGAAGAACATTACCTAAAGTTAGGTACTGCCTTGAAGTTCCTGGAAAGCCTGTCTCACTGCTCTAAGGAGAAGTGTCAGTGTCCAATTCTAAGAGTTTAGATGGCCCTGTCAAGACAGCTGCCCTGAGACTGTCACTTTTTTTTTTTTCCCCCAGTGCTGGGGATTGAACCCAGGGTCTTCTGCATGGTAGGCAAGTGCCCTACCCTGAGCCACATCCCCAGCCAGAGACTTGTGACTTTTAAGATAGAATGGACACCACACATTCCTATGAAAAAGGTGTTCATGGCATTCTTTTAATTTCTCTTCTAGGGCCTCCAGTGCCCAGTGTCCCCACCATCTGTGCTGTGACCTAAAGCTAGGTTTCAGGGAGACCTACCCGAGGAGGAACAGCCTGCAGGGCGGTGATGTAGTTCTCCAGGGCCAGTCGGCGGCGGTCATTGAGCATGGCTTCCACTCTGGCCATGTGTGTCTCCACCAGCTGCTGCCTCTCGTTGGCTGCTTCCTGTTCCAGAGATTCCACTTTCTCCTGGAAATGCTGCCATTTTGAAAACACACATCAATCAGGAACAGAACGAGGAGGATGGTGGCAAATTCAAGTCTTTTAGAAGAGATATTCTATTGCATTTTTCTTCAAGTGATAAAAACTATTCCAGAGGGTGCACAGTCACCTCAACATTGACTAATTTCATACATTTTATAGGTTACCTCCTCTTCTTGTATTCTCCATCTCCCAACCAAATTAATTTCTCATTGAAAATCAGGATTTTATAGAGTCCTTCAAGACTCATTTCACTGATAATGACTGATACTAATGTCAGATACATTTATGTATTCTTGAAGCTCTTGCATTTCATATTTTTTAAAAATTCCTTTCTTCTGAAATTATTTTAATTTATGTAAATGGCCATGATAAGCTCTCTGTTTATGTAAGGTAATTTGGATGCTGGTTTCAGACCCAAATTGGAATATTTGTATAATTTTTCCCAGGGGGAGAAGTAGCAAGAACTAGGGCAACCAAAGAGATGCATTATTAATAAAAAGTAAACTGCAAGTAACAGTAAGTTTTATGGCAATGAATTATAACTTGAAATAGTTGGGAGCAAATGTAAGGCAGGGTTTCAAAAACTCAATAACTAGACAACGATTAGAACAGCCCAAATTTATGGGAATATGAACAATCACACATGGCGTTCCAGCAGATGTTGGCCAACCTGCAGGCCCTCAACAGACAGGTTGTTGGCAGGTCCTGCTTGCTAGGGAGTGGGTTCAGATTTTACCTGGATCACTGCCTTCTTATCAGCTTTGGGCAAGTTCTTTGCTTGACGTTCTGCTTCTTCCCATTCTCTCATGACCTGCAAAAAAGGACAAAACACTTTTATCATCAGTTCTTTCTTCAAATACAGCTTTAACTGAATATTTTTACAGTAATTTTCTCCTGTTTTTGTTACTGTGAATAGAATAAAAGGCATATAATTCCTGAACAAGGAATTAATTAATTAAACACACTGGTCTTAGCCTTCTATAAAAGCAAGTTAAACATTTCAACTGCGCATTTGTAGAAGGAGGAGGAGCCAACATAACAACCTATGTATGTGCAAATGTCATGAACACAATACAAAAAAAAATAAAACACATAATGGGGGAAGATACAGAGACTTCAGTCATTTGAAATCCTATGATCTACCCTTTATGAGAATTTGATGAGCAATTAGGGCCTTCTGCTTGCCAACATGAATTATGCATAGCAAGGATTACTCTGAATCCCCCAGAAATTCCAAGAAAATATAGATTATAACATTCTGAATGTAGCAAAAAGCAACACTAATTTAGTAACCAGGTGAATCTAATTTGTTAGGAAATAAAACTTCCTGGTCTCACTCTTGATGTCCAGCCACCTGGACTTCCTGAGAGAAACTCACTCTTTCAGCAGACCACAAGGCCTAAGTCTATAACTGTGCATCTTGTTGGACGAAAATATCATTTTCTCACCATCTATGGCTGCCCTTTCCTTTCTAAGTGTTCTACTAGCTGTCAAGGGAGTTTAAGTGTAACTCACACCAGAGATTGGTAAAATGAAAAAAGAAAGATCAAGTAAGCAAAATTCTGGCCTCTTATAGGATAAGTACTTGTCTACCCTGTGTACTTCCATAATGTGGGAAAACTTGATTTCTACACTAAAAAGACTGTTACAAGCATTTAACCCTCAGGAACTGATTTTTTTTTTTTTTTTTTTAGATATTCTTCCAAATCACAAAGAAAAAGGGGTTTAGAGAAGTTCTATGAGAAAATACCATATCTAATGACCAAGTGAGTTTCTTAGGTATTTTATTGGCTGTCAGCATTAATTCTTTGTATAATATACAAGATCACTTACATTGTGTATAAGATACAAATTCCTTATTGTTTTGGTAAAATTCTGGAGAAATAAGATGGAATGGCTTTTCTACTACACTTGAATAGTATATAAAAAATAACATTAAGGTTTATAACAAATTTGGGACAAATGTCCCACTGTAGGAAACAGGAACATAACACACACAAAAATTAAATATACTGTCCGGGTTACTTTGGTATTTCTGTGAGTTGATGAAAAGAACCTGTGGACCAGGGGGATACTGAAAACTACCTTTGCTTTACAGATAAGATAAGCCTTGCAGTACAAATAATTCAATTTCCTGTATGAGAATGTTCACTGTGGTGGTGCTTGACCAAGAATTCCTCAGGCAAGGAATCTCAAAATTAGTTTGAGACAGAAGCCAAATGTCTTTCTGGAATGTGAAATGTTGATTTTCTGCATTACATTTTCATTTTTTACCAGCTCACCTTGTATACTCAGAATCTGGACTTTCAGCTTTGAATTGGAGATTCATGAAACATTTAAGATTTATTTAGCTAATGTGTTGAAAATAAGCATCACTATAAAAATGAACTCAAACTTTGATTTGTTTTTCAGAACAATTAAACAATATCCTCCACCCCTACAAATAAAACAAATCATCCTAGAACTCCTTACTACATTCAAATGGATCCACAGTGTAGGCTGAACACCACCCTGTGATAAACGGCTTCCGCTGTGTTGCATTGATAATAGATAACATTACTGTTCACCCTGGATTAAGTGCTTTACAAAATCTATCAAATTTAATTGATTCCTCACAATAGACTGTGAGATTAGGCATGGCCATTCCCATTTGATGTACAAAGTTAAGATAGGAGCTCAAGGTCATGCAAATAGCAATAAACGAAGATCACTTGGCTCCTTTGCCATTATAAATTGGAAAAGCTACCAAATAAGCCAAGTTTACTTAAACTCAGTGACAGGAGAAGAGCCATTCCTGAGATGATGTTATTGTCAAAATAAAAAACTCAAAGTAAGGGCAACTTTCAGTTTGAAAGTTCATTTTAAGTACATATTAAAATTGCTGGAAAAGTAAGTAATAATAAGTAAGTACAAATGTACTTCATATTTCAGAAACAAAGAGTGTTATTACTATAAGTTTTTTTTTGTCTTTATGTTACACTGTTCCAATGCTTATTAGTATGTGGTAGATGCTGTCATAATATAACACAAAAATCTACAGATTTTAATTTGTAATTCCCAGCATCAACAAAATGCCCCAAACTCCAGATTCTCTGTATTTGTAAGGAAACAAATAATAACAAAAACTACAAAATGAATCAATAAGAAAAAAAAAATTGAAATTTGAAATTCTCAGGATTTGTTCCTTTTGGTTGCTCTTTATATTCTTCTAAAGCAATTTTCCACCACATGCACAAAGGTATCAATTTCATCTGGATTTATGGATCTTCAAAGACCTGGCTGTTTCATGCAGAGAAAATCACTACTAGAGATTGAAGAGGCAGGCAAGTTCAAAGTCAC